GGCAACTTTTGGACCTTGCAAAAGCCAAAAGGATACGAAAAGGATACACCTTGCATGGGTTGAAGCGCTACGCACGGCAGATGCAGTCCGCGGTCAGAACGGAGGCCGGTTGAGCGTCGGAGATGCACTTTCTTGCGCTTTCTTGAGCTATGAAGACCCAAAACAACTCAAATGGCCTAAACAAGGCTGTGGGAACCCCACCGGCCGAAAGGGGAGGCCACCGGCTGGCCATCGGCACAAAAACAATTCTATCGGCACAAAAAAGTGCCGGCTGGCACAAAACATTGCCGACCGGCAAACAGTTGTTGGTGCGGGGCAGTTTTGACTTTTCACCTTGGGTGTTTTAAAATAGGGTTTTAAACCCTATTTTCTCATTCCTCCTCCGCCGAAATCTCTTGCTCTCTTTCTCTAGAGCGTTTCTCTCTCCCTTTTCGCCCGTTTCTTCGCATTCTACGCTCGTTTCGTCGTCGGATTCGCGATTTCCTTCGCGTTTCGGACATTTTCAACCGATTACATTCTTGTTTCGGTGCCTCGTTTGGTGTTCTCGCCTTTTCGGGGTTTGTTCCCCCACTTTCCTCTTCATTCCTGTGCCTTTTCACATTCCGACCTTCCCGGCCATTTCCGACCCTCTTGGGAGTTGACTTTTCAGTTGACTCTTCGTATTCCGGCCCGGTTTTCCTTTTCCCGGCCATTTTCTCATCATTTTCGATATGGCAGACGACATTCCACGTGGCGGGACTCCCTCGGACCACGAGATGGATCCCGGGGTCGAGCTCCTACCACTGAGCGAGCGCCCGTTCGACCCGGCGAGCTACCGGCCGGCGATCCATGTTCTGCCCCCCGACGGCCTACGTCAGTTCCGGAGCTTCGAGAGGCACGTGGGGCCTGAGCTACTGCTGCGTGAGCCTACCTCCCACCTTTCATTCGGCACTTCCGAGGTAACTCTTTGTCTTCTGCTTTACTTTCCGCAATGTAGGATACAAAAACTGTCATAGTTCATTGTATTCTTTAACTGCTGAAAACTGATATGCTGTAGACTGTAGTTGACTGTAAACATACATACAACTGATATCTGCTTAAGACTGACACCTGCACACACACTGCACTAGCCCCGAATCATTCAAACACACTGCGCTCACTGTATTTCACTGCATACACACTGGCACCTAGTATTCGTCTGAATCTGTTAAATTTGCACACATGCTATATCTGCTTTGAAACACCCAAACACGCTGACACAGCACACGTATTTCACTGCAAGCACACCGGCACCCGGTATTTGCCTGAAACTTGTCAAACTTGCACACATGCTTTATCTGCTTTTTCAAAACTGCATTTTGAATGTTGTCTTGCAATTGTCATTTTCTGTTTACAGGAGCATTACATGGCAACTATGCTAAGCATGCATGGAGTTCCAAAACCAACTTGAGATCATGTTATATTATGGATATATAAGCATGAAAAACATCCTAAACATGCTCAACACACACTCAAGCATAATGCTCTCTCAAGAGGCCAAATAGGTCCT